GCTGCTGGGGCGGGGCGGGAGGCAGGGGAGCCGCGGGGGGGCGTCCTCGGCGGCGAGCAGCGGGAGGCACCTGTGCCGACGACTGGGTGGAGGCAGCAGCTGGTCGTCGGGGCAGAACATGTTTGATTGCCTCCGTCTGCTCCTGGGCAGTGGAGACTGCTGGGCAAGAGTTCTCGACTGCACCGCCAAAAAGGGCCAACCTGGGAGAGAAGGGCGTCGAGCAGACGAATCCGCTCAGCGCTCCGAGTGTCTGCCAGGTTGACGCTCCTGGACCACACTAGTGGCCATCACCTGACCAACGGCGCGAGCGGCCACTTTCGTTGCCCTTTGGAGAGCAAGGTCAGTGGCGGACCGCAAATCTTCGAATGCCGTTGGATCAGTCCCGCCCTCGAGCATATCTCTGAGCATCTGCGCTTGCACAGTGCTCATCGCATGCAAAGCGGAGGCCGCCCGTCCCGCCGCTCTATAGGAACGCGCCGCCATGGCAGACGAGAACCTACAGGCTTTGGATGGGTGCCTAGGAGGACCACGGAGGAGGCGCTCTGTGGACACAGCTGTATCGCAACAGAACGCTCCAGCGGGGGCATCCCAGTGCACCCACGGGCGGCCCCACCATCGAGGGGGGAAAGGCGGGGGAGAGATCGCGCTCTCGAGTGGACAGAGGAGTCCCCCAAGAGCGCGATAACTCCGCATGCAGCTCGGGGAAAAAAAGCAATGGAGTTGGCCGTGGCCTCGCGGCGGCAGCTTTGTCCAAAAACCAATTATCCCTCCGTGAGAGATCGGGGAGAATGGAGGATGCCACTCTAACCCAATACTCCCAGCGGCTTGAGACAGCATGCCGTCAGCTCGGGATCCGACACGGGCAGCGCTGGCTCTCCCGAAGGGGGCAGTGCAGCCGCATCCTCATCTCCCGAGGACTGTAGCCCGCCTAGTGATGCTGCGATCGACATCACATCATCATCTGGAGCGCTGCTCGAAGCAGCCGGTACCACTGAAGAGGCAGCCGACTGAATCGAACTAACGCTCGCTGGCTCACGCACTGAGGCGGGAGGTGTGGCCCGAGAAATCGTCGGGGCTTTATGCCACACCGTCACCGTTAATTCGCCGGGTCCCCGGTCGACGGGCCCCCTTTCGTGAAGGAAGCCGATCGAGTAAGGGGGACCGGGGCTCTCACTCTAGTGAGATTTTTTTTTTTTTTATATATATATAAAAATATATATTTTATATATAAAATATATATATATATCTTTTTATATATATATATATATATATATTTTTTTTTTTTTTTTTTAACCTCAGTGTGGAGATGGTCATGTCCCCATAGCAGGAACATGAGTCATCCACGAACGCTGCTGCTGCATGCTGAATGCCCAGGCATACAGAGCAGCGATCGCGACCATCAGATGACGACAGAAATCGACCGCATCCAGAAGAACACGGGCGAACCGTCTTTAAAAAGACGTGCCGCGTGTAGCTCTTTTACAGAGAGGAGGAAATTCACTCTTTCAGCGCTGAGGCGACCAGGGAGAAGCGCAAAGTCTGGCAGACCACTGCACAGATCGCAGGCAATGCAGAAACTCGCTGGGTACCGCCGTCACACCAACACTGAAGAGGACGCTCGTCTCGAAGAGTCTTGTAATAGCTTTCAGGAGTGAAGAGGTTCTCTTGGCTCCGAAGCGAAAACATACTGCGGTTGCGTTCACTTCCTCCTTTTATACTCACGGAGTAGGGCGGAGTACGCTATGCAAATTTCCGCAGCCCCAAGGCATTGCATGCCATTGGCTCGTGTTTAAATACTCGCTTTCTATGCGAAACCCCCAATCTCCGTCACTTCTGACGTAACTCGAAGTGACTACGAAAGGGAACCTGGTCTCTCTCAAGGTTTTTTTCTCCATTTCTGTCACCTGATGGAGTTTGGGTTCCTTGCCACAATCGCCTCTGGCTTGCTTGGTTGGGGACACTTAAAATCAGTGTTGGAAAAAATTACTTTTAAAAGTAATGCATTACAATATTGCATTACTCCCCAAAAAAGTAACGTCTAGGTTATGGTAACCCTCGTTCCCTGAAGGAGGGAACGGGATGCCACGTCGAGACCAACGAATATGAATCTCGCTAGAGAGGCCACTTAGAGTGAAACTAAACGAGCCAATACACATTGGCATACAATTATCTGGATCAGTTGTTCAGCCACGCACCGCGGGTATAAAATGTACAGAAGGTGCGATTGCGGGGCGGCAGTGGCTCAGTGGTTCATGTAGGTTTTCTACAAACCAGAAGGTTGGTGGTGTAATCCCCGGTTCCACCTGACCAAGTGTCGAGGTGTCTGTGAGCAAGACACCTAACCCCAGCTGCTCCCGACGAGCTGGATGGCACCTTGCATGGCTGACACCACCGTCGGTGTATGAATGGGTGAGTGAGAATGTGAGGCAAATATAAAGCCTTTTGGTGGCCATTGGGTCTGTGAAAGTGCTGTATAAATGCAGTCCATTTACCATTTCAGTTTTTTTCTCCGTTCTATCCTTCAGAGATCGAGGGTTACCATAATGTAAACTAGACGTTCCTCTTCAGTTGATTAGTCGACGCCATGTCGAGACTGATGAATAGTAATCTCTACCAAAGGGCGACAGCTGCTGACCCCATCCAGCGCCCCGTGCAAGCCTCTTGCCCCTTCTTGCCTGAAAGGATAAAAGGAGAAGGCTTACACAGAGTATATCTGTCACTGTTGTACTGTGAGAACCCATGCAGTGAGATTCTTGGATCACACTGGGAAAGCGTACCCTTTCTGTAAGGAAGGAGAATGCTGTGGAACCCACATTCTTCCCTGAAGGAGTTTTGTAGAGATATACATATGGACTAAGGTCATACTACATATGAAATTGACTCCCTGACATGATCCCCATTCAGTTGACGTCGACTACGTCCTCGGTTCCCTCCTTCAGGGAACGGTGGGTTGCATATGCAACCAGGACGTTACCCAGACAGCAAACTGACATTGAATCAACGTGGAAACGACGTCTCTCATGACATTGAAACAACGTTGATTTGCTCATCGAATTAACGTTGAACCAACGTCAGACGCGGCATTCTTCAAAGCTAAATGAAATCGAAAATTGGTTTGCTTTCATAACGTTGAAACAACGCGTTGATTTCAAGTTGATTTTCCGTTAGTTTTGAAAGAATGACGCATCTGACATTGGTTCAATGTTAATTCGATGAGCAAAACAATGTCAGATCAACGTTGTTTCGATGTCATATTTCCACGTTGATTCAATGTCAGTTTGCTATCTGGGTATGATTCTAAAATTGCATTTTACAGTTTTTATTCATTTTGAGGAATAATGAATGTTTTCGCGCAAGTGATATGAGTAAATGCATGTTCACATTCAGTCTAGAACTAAAATAACCATCATGTTTACACAGCGCACACAAAACCTCCTCACTTTATTTGTCTCAACATGGGGACAGAAGAGAGATCAGTCAATAAATGTGAAAAAGTAACAGCGTTACTTATTTGAGAAAGTAACTTAGATTTTTTTGTAAATTGAAAAAGTAATGAGTTACTTTATTAGGTACTTGAAAAAGTAATCTGATTACATAAAATTTACTTCTTATAGGCTATATGCACGCATAAGTTCCGCATTTGACGCAAGGATGCTTGTCAGTTTCCGGTTGGGGAGATTAAAGCGGAGGAAAACCGAGGAAAACGGGATTATGGCAGAGTCTTCAAAATTTACTGTCCTCCCGTCTTTGAAACGAAACTTTCATTCGTTTAGATGTCATTTTATATATAGTTATGTATATGTAATATAATTTTAAAAAGAATCATGTACACACAACGAGGGGTGTCTGTTTTGTCTGTTTTTGTGAATAACGTTTCTTTAGTATAACCATGGAGTATAAAATCCAATATCGGCGGAAGTTATCGAGCATCCTTACACCTTCACCGGAAATACCGCCATGCATAGAGCCCATAATGAGTTACCCCCAACACTGCTTAAAATTCAACCACATTAATTTATAATCACATTAATAATCACTGACACTATTGGAGGAGAACTGAACTGAGCTGGATGATGACATCATTGTTTTTCTGCAGAACGGCTTTATAGATGAAAATTAACTAATTTAATAATTGATGATTTTTACAACGGAACTGAATAAACACTGAACTGAATAGCTGATACTATTTTCTTTTAGAGCTGCTGTACAGCCGAAATGAATGAATCATTTTCCTGTTATCACTGCTTTGAAACAATCTGTATTGCATGAATCTCAAGGCTATATGACTAAAGATGAGTTGACGCAATGGTGAAGGGGAAATTGACAGAATAATTTGACTTTGTCACCACCACAAGTGTCCTCAAACACGTACACATCTCTAGAATATAGTAGGTAATAATCAACAAACAAGCAATAAAAGGTGACAAACTGTTCCTGACAATGTCTGTTTCAATTTTTCATGCAAGGAAATGCAGCTTACTATATAAAGAAACCTTCGGCACGTGTTATGTTAATGTTTAAAGTTTATTACCAGTAGCTGACTTGTCTAGTTTACTGTCATCATTATGCTGTGGGATTTTCAGAAAGACAAACTCAACACCCTTATGGTGGTGTAATTAGACTTGCGGTATGAAGCCAAGCAACATAGTGAGATGACGACTAGATGTTTAACGTACACTGACACCACCTTTGTTAATGTGAATGGGTGCTCCCTAATTAAATTAATGTTCACAGGAAGCTCATTATTTAAGAAATGTTTGAGTGCTTTCCAGGAAGGTGCTGTGGGAGTTTTTAATCTTAATATGCTCAGAGCCGCTTTTTTGACACGTCTTTTAAAGTTTCTGCATGGTCTAGAAATGATTCACATCTTTAGTGCTTGCTTCTGTATTGTGTTTGACAGTTTTCAATATATACTTCTATATGTATATAATGCTTTATGTGTGCATGCGAATATGTCTGTATATATTAAATTACCACATTCAATGAAATCATTCAAATGATTCAAATGCAGTCAAAACATTTATTGAAACATATGCAGGTATACAATCAAAGGTCCAACATTTTTTTTCCAGTATGGAATACTATTAACTTCAAGACAAAAATATAACAGTCTGAATATAAGGTTAATAAAAAAACAATCCTTTAAATAAGTAAACTGTAACTACCATAACAGGTTATGTAGAATACAAATGATTCATTTGAGATATAATTAATATAGCTCCAAAAATGATCACAAGGAGAGACCCAGATTAATATGGGTGTTTTACCAAGACTCAAAGGTGACGAAAAATAGGTAGAAAGTCTCTCCTTATCATTTGAACTCATACACTCTCTCACTCCTTTCAAGCTCTACCTTCATCTACCATGGTTTATCTTTCAGGGGCAAGGCGTGCAGATGTTGCCAGAGCAACTTTACGGGTGTAGGTCGTGCAGCGGCGTAGGATCTCCTGAGTTTGTGGTCGGGGTGGTATCCTGGGAGTTCCCTCACCTTTCATAGGGTGGCCAGCGTCTGAGCTGATGGGGCTGGACTGGCCACTGGACATACCACTATCGAGCTCTTTCTCCTGCTGTCTCAGGCCCTCTTCCCCCTCTGAGCTGGACATGCTTGGGCTCATGGACGTGGTGTCCGAGGAACTGAAGCTGAAGTCGGTTCCATCATCGCTGAAGCTGCCAGACTCCTCGAGCTGTCCCGGATCGCTGTTTTGGCTCTGGGGGTCTGACAGCATTTCCAGAGAGCTGGAGCTGAGGAAACTATTTCTTCTGTTTTGTGAGCGAACCTGAGGCTCCACTTTTAAAGAGTTGTTGGCGGACAGGTTGATAGCAGAGCTGTGAAGTTTCCTCCGAAGATTCTGAAGGCCAAAGCTGGGGCTGCTGTAGAGCTTCAGGTACATGGAGGGCACGTAGCCGGCCTTTCTGTTGTATCTGCACAGGGAATACAAGCTTAAGAGTAAGTTTTGTATGGGACAGATTATCTATCTATCTATCTATCTATCTATCTATCTATCTATCTATCTATCTATCTATCTATCTATCTATCTATCTATCTATCTATCTATCTATGATTTGCTCTGAAATTTAGTCTGGCAAAGAACTCATTCAAACCCATCTCCAATCCGTCGAAATCGAGGCACCAATCAGAGACGTTGGGCCGGGCTTTACACGATGATGACAGCACTGGGATTTTGAAGCAGATTTTGTAGCCTACATTACAAAGATGGATGCCGCCGTGGAACATCACTCGTTCGAATCAGCTATCGCGTCTGTTTTACGTAAGTGATTTGAACATTTCCTTTTTTTTAAAAACCGAGCGAAGAACAACACTCGGAGATGTTTCTCCGCCGGCCGCCGCTCTGCACACGTCATCTCCTTCATCGCTCTGATTGGCTTTAGGTCTACCCGCGACATCCGTTGGTGACGCCCTGCTGGAAATGATTTGTCTAGGACGCTTTGCCAGACCATGACTCAGTTACAACTGAGAATGGTCTGGTTTTAACCAGGCTAGATCAAAGCTCAACACATTGGATTGATTTCTATAGGATGATGTGAAAATTAAGAAATGGCATGTAGTTTTGCCATTACATTTAAAAAAAAATATTAAAAGCCATTTTCAATAAATTACTGTAATATTTTAGTATTTATAACTGTTTTTTTTAAATAGCCGACTGACTGTATATTATGCTTATTGCACAGCTACTTGCCAAATAAATTGATAAATGGATATGAAATATAGATTTAAGTTTGCATAAGATGTCAGAACCAATTTGCAGAATGTGGCAAATGGCCAATCAGATAATAATCTTCCACATTCCACCTGTACATTGTGTCTGCTGATACTGTCTTAAAATAATCCATCTTAAAATAATTCCTATCATTCTCTGAATGTCAGTGCAAATGAAGCAAACAACTTTAATTACCTAACAAGCCACCAGCCATTATCAGACCTCTGTAACACCTCCACAACAGCGCCGATGCTCATAGAGAGCTCGTCCTCTTTTTTTGACGTGTAACTTCTTGTTGCGCAGTACAGAGACACTAGAGGAACGAAAAAATGTTAAGTTAGCAAGGTTATTTTTGGAGATTCAGTACGACAGAATGTTTATGTAACAGCTGTATCTTACTTTCAAAAGTAGGTGAGTCAAACTCGTCCTCCTCCTCTTCTTCCTCTTCACCGCATAATTCCAGGTAAGGAGCGGGAAACCAAGCTAGACGTTTATCCTCATTCTCGACAAGCCACCAACCTGATCACACCACATATATAATTAATAAGCTGTAAGGATCTGCACTATAAACTTTAGTTCACTTTCTTAAAGGGATATTCCACCGTTTTTTCATATTAAACTATGTTACTCCCTTAACTAAGACGAGTTGATACATACCTCTGTCGTCTCAGAGCATGCATTCAATCGCTCTGGCGCGCGAGACACTTTGATAGCATTTAAAGGGACACTTCGCCCATTTGCATTAAGCTTTGTATCTTTAGAAACCCAGTCATATTTTTGATTGGTCATGGTTTATTCACTTATTTTCCCCCGAGATGGGAGAAATAAAGATTTAAGTGTTTTACTTGCTGCTTATCGTGACGTAAAAATCGTCATTTTGCGTCACAATAAGCAGGAAGTCACATTTCATTGTAAAGTTTAGAGACTACAAACATTAGCTCATTTTTATTCAAGGGTGTGGGACCCACTCACCCTACAGGCCTATTACAGATCAGTGGGTGGGACTTCACTTGCTGATACTGAATCGATATCCGCCATCTTGTTTGGAAGCTAAGCTAACAAGCGCTGTGGTGATGGGAAGTTATGACAATGACGGCAACTAAACATGATATGGAAGAAGAGGATTTTGAAATTCTGCTCCTCGAATCCGATGTTCGTGGCTATCTTTACGAGTCGCAGTATAGTGAAGAGCAGCTGAGGCTGATGGAGGAACAGGAGGCGGCTGCCTGTCGCGGTAGATGAGCCCAGACTGGCTCGAGCTGAGGCGGACTGATTGTGCTTGTGCTATCGCTGGGCGCTATGGACACAGCTAGAGTCCGTCTGCTGGGGGGAGAGGACTTTTCACGAGTGATGATATTACTGTGCTGAGTTGAAGTGCTCCCCCCCCAGCACTTGCTGTGGTATTCCTATTGAATGAACTGGGCTAAGCTAAGTGCTGTCAAAGTGTCTCGCACGCCAGAGAGATTGAGTGCATGCACTGAGATGAGAGAGGTATGTATGAACTTGTCTTAGTTAAGGGAAAAACATAGTTTAATATGAAAAAACGGTGGAGTATCGCTTTAAGGGAGAAGACATACCTGCTTTGTCTTTAATGAGCACATCCAGTCTTTCATCCACACCTACTTTAAAGGGCTTGTTCTTTGTATCTTTAGTCTCATACGGAGCCACACATCGATATGTCTTGGACACAAAAGGCTGGGTCACATTGCCATTGCTCAGACGTTTATTTGCCAAGTCGGGTCCTCTGTTGACATTGGGGATGCTGTTTGAATGCAGAATCATCAAACTGCAGGGAGAAAAGAGCCGCTTTAACAGACAATTACAGCACAAACACGTTCCACCAGGTTGACATGGATATTAAACTCTGCCAAACAAAACAGATCAGAAATATGAAGTGAGCTACACTGTCTACGTATTCTTGGAATGCTGCAGCTACCTACTTATATCCCAGAAGGAAATAATCAACATGGCCTACCTGTTTTGGGTATATTCCGGCATAAGCTCCTGCTCATTTGGCAGGAAAAACTGAATGACTTCTGTGGAATGTGACACAGTCGTGTTACACTGCAACAGGTTGGAACAGTAGCTCTCCAGATTTCTCAGACGGGACACTGACTTAGCCAGAGCTTTCAACTGAAACGATGCCATCATGCACTGAGCTGTAAACAAAACCTCAATGAACAACAATATAAAAACTATTCCCTCCAACATAAAATATTATAGCTATAATAATGATTATAAGAATGATTATTTGAAAGGCTTTGTGCATGTGTGCATGCATATGTAAAGTCTGTACATGCAGGAATTTGTTACTATTTTATGCATTCTTTTATGAGTCAGGCTTAATGGGTTACAAAAAACGGGTTGCACTTTATTTTAAGGTGTCATTACAGAGTAAGAATTAAGTATTGAATAATATTAAGTAACTACATAGCCTAGGGTTATGGTAGGATTGGGATTTGGTTGAGGAGTTGCATGTAATTATGAATAATTTACTGTTTTCACTATGTAATATATGTAACAAGTACACTGTAAAATAAAGTGTTACCAAATGATTATGTACATTCTAATCACCTAAAAAGCTGTTAATCCTACCTCCAAATCTGGGTAGCACTCTATCCTCTTTCCGAAATTGGTTTTCCACCGGAAACTTCTTTTTTAATTGCCTCTGTTGAAAAGAAATGTGAATAAATAACGAATTGTTCATGTCTTCTAGTAACGATTTGTGCCAAATTCTGATTGTAAAACGTACATGGAGCGTTTTGAAGTCTTGGAGGGATCGGTACACTATCAGCTCACTCTGGTCTGACCATATCACAGATACCATGTATTTCTGTAACAAATCAACAAACGAACAATTGTTATCATACCTAAAATTCAATAGCGTTGCCATTATTTAAAGTTATCCTACGAACACATCATATTCTTACTTTGTACTTGTCCTTTTTCATTACTCCGATAAGACGGACATCGACAGGAAAGCGAGGGTCACTCATTGCTGTTTATGATGAGCAAGATCACAGTAAGAAATCCTTCCTTGTTTCCTTTCAACATCACCTGCATCATCATTTATAGCCTAGCCGAAAGCCATGGGCCGGGGCGTGTTGTTTATCTCACGTGAATTGAGTGAGTGGACAGTGAAAGAGAAATCTGATAAGCAAAAAAAAAAAAAAAAAAAAAAAAAAACGCCTCTGCGCCTTGCGGGCACGTGCGAAAGAGTGTTAAGTTATGATGACAATAATTTGTCAGCAATGAAACGTCAATGTTGTCTTCAAACGTGGGGAAATTTGACAGTTTTGTCAATGATTAAACGTCATTGTTGTCTGTGCTGAAGTTTATTACTTACAAGAAAACAAACCATCTATCTATCTATCTATCTATCTATCTATCTATCTATCTATCTATCTATCTATCTATCTATCTATATATCTATCTATCTATCTATCTATCTATCTATCTATCTATCTATCTATCTATCTATCTATCTATCTATCTATCTATCCGTCCGTCCGTCCGTCCGTCCGTCCGTCCGTCCGTCCACTATGTTAAACCATAGATAGACTGTAAACAAAATAGGGTTACCATAATGAAGTTAAAAGGGTTAGTTCACTTAAAAATGAAACGTCCACTGAGGGGCCAGAATGAAAGTTTTTATGACAACTTTTTTTGACGTGTTCTGCAGGTCTGATTTAGATTTTCATTTACTGTATTTGTACAAGTTTACTGTAATAACTAGTTCACGGCCATTGTGGACATATTTTCAACATAACTTGGTCTCATTTAGACAATTTATACTGTTTCTGGACCAAATAAACACTCTCAGGATGCATTAAAATTAAAACTCATGTTTATTTACATTGTTTAGATGAGGTTTGGATGTTGATATTTGTTTCAATTTAAATCACCATTGTGGTGATCAGTGTTTGCTTTAGTTGGGCTCTTGGTCCCAGTTCTTCTTACTTCAGATTTTCTTTGGCTGTTGTAATAGTGTGTTTTTATAACACCATTGTTTGTGCAGAGAAAGCCAAGAAAATGATAAATCAGCTGTCGTCAGCTCCTTGTTCATGATGACAAAAGCAACACAAAGCAAGGATTTAATAGTGGTTAAACTTTTGTCTTTATATCTGGTATAACCACCAATCATGTAGAACAAGGTTTTTATGGGCATCTCGCACTGAAGACTTGGATGTAAACGCCCTCTGCTGTGAGTGGGTAGCAGTTTTGCATTGTTATAATGAGTTTCATCTCACCCATCGATGCACATGGGGGAAATTGTTTTGAAAACATCCAATGTTGTAAAATGGCAACCGGAATGATTCACCCATAAATGTTAGACAGAGAGTCCGTGTGTTGCACCATTCCTGTCAGATCAAATATTGCATAGCACAGCACCGTTGTTCTTTACTCTTAATCGGTCTGCAAATTCAGTCTTGTTTACAAAACAATCCTCAGTGAAATGAAGCGAACAGACGGTTTTACCCTTATCAGCTGGAATGCATGAAAAGTAAAGTTTTGCATTCCTATTGGAATCCAGAGGAAGCTTATGCAGCCACTTCCACAAGGCACTGCACAATATTTTGTATTGCTCGGTAACTCGATCCGGTTTGTCATCACGAGGTAGGCTTCGGAATCTATGTTATTTAGCTATGCGTGTAATGCACGAATTGGTGGGCGGGGCTAAACCGGCCGTGTTTAAGTAGGCATTGATCTTCTTCTGCGGGGGTGGTGTTTTATCCTCTTTGACGTCATAGTTCCCCACTTTTAAAAATGAGTCGTTTGCTGAGCCTGGTGTCAATAAAAGCTTTTATTGGATTAACAAGGATGTTTTCAGTTCTGAAATGTACAGGATATTCTTATAATATGATGAACTCTTAGATGTCAAAAGCTCAAGGAAAATTAGATTTCTCAGTTCATCACCCCTTTTAAATGCACACTTATTTTAAGGTGAAAAAAAAGCATGCGTACACAATGTTTTAAGCAAGTAAATCACGTAGTCACACACAGATATCAAGGTTTTGGATATGATTCACAACAACGGAGACAACCAAAACAATAAAGCTTGGGAATTAAGGATGTTTTGTACTATTAAAGCTGTCCACCATGCATTGCAGCATGAAGCTTTTTTATTATTGTCACCATTGTTGTGACTCATATGCAAAATCTTGATGTCTGTGTGTGACTATGGTACATTTTCTCAAAACATTGTGTACACATGCTTTTTATCCACCTTCAAATAAGCGATCATTTTAATGCTACTGGCCTAAATAATGCAGTTCCAAAAGATTGGTGGTTATAAAATCTAGATATAAACACTAAAGTTTAAACACAACATTAAATGCTCACTTTGTGTTGATTTTATCATCATCAACAAGGAGCTGACGACAGCCATTTTGACAATTTCTTGGCTTTCTCGGCCACAACAATAATGTTATGCAAACACACAGTTACAACAGCCAAAGAAAAGCGAAAGTATGAAAAATTGGGACCAAGAGCCCAACTAAAGCAAACACTGATCACCACGATGGTGACTTAAAATGTAACAAATATCACCATCTAAACAATTTAAGGACAAAAACATGAGTTTAAATGTAATGCATCCTGAGAGTGTTTATTTGTTCCAGAAACAGTATAAATTGTCTAAATGTTGAAAATGTTATCAACATTTAACCCATCAACCTATCAACATTAAAAACCTATCAACATTTTGATGTACCTGACTTAAAAACATTTATGAACAGTCTTAAAGAAGAAAAACGGATGACTAACTTAGTCTTGGCAGTTTAAGGAGTACCTTTCCCCATAAGGGATGATGACTTTTCATCAAAACAACCCAAAGTGAGCAGTTCATTCAGGCCTGTCATCCCTTTAGTATTTCCCAATGATGACCTGGTGTGGTTTTGTGGGGGTGGGCAGGCTAAGTGGGGATCACAGGTGTTTCTTCAAACTGAGGGTGATGAGAGGGCAGACAGCTGGAACATTGATCTGGAGCTGCTGGCGTCACAACTGGCCTTGAAGAACCGCCAAAACTCCTCTGCAGAATCAGCTCAAGGTCATCAGCAGTGAGGTTTTGTCATGCCTCATGCTTGCACACATCATCACCTGGAAAAGGAGCCCAAGCGCACGTTTTGGCTGTCCGGATGAAGAAACCAAAACACGTGCTTTTCGTACACCACCCACTCAACCGGGGCAACGCGAGAGAAAATGTGTGTCCGCAGACTTGATCTGGAGCCAGCTGCAGTGATGAACAATACGACCACTTGGAAAATACCCACAGAAAGTCCCTTATAAAAGTTGCCAAAATATTTCTAAGATACGGATCAAATAGTTTTCCCATTTATGTTGCTTAATTCATTTTTTTTGTCATTTTAAAAATAGTAATAGTACATTAAAGCATAATTTTATATAATTTATTTTTCTTGCCAGGTAAATATGAGCATGACCTAAAAGATATTTTGTTGATTTGTCAATATAATCAAGACACTTCTGCTCATAATAGCTAATAGCTGAGATGTGCACATTTGCATTCGATGTGCAAATAGATGTGAAAAATTTGATAAAGTTTGCCTTTGTTTCATTAATGAGACTAACTTAAAAAAGAATAATCAATAGTCAATGCTTGTTTTTTTTTTTTTCTTTCTGTGTTGATCAAAAATTGCCATGATTATAGTTTTGTTAATAGCTTTCAGGAGGCCGATGATATATGTTGCAACACTACTTTGATTAAAAAAAAAACAACAACAACAACAACATAATTTTCTGAATAATATTGACATGCTTCTTTGTCAACTGATCAAGCAGACTTGCTGGAACATATTTTCAAGGGAAACATGATCTTCAGTGTCACATGATTATTCAGAATTCATACTGATTTGCAGCTCAAGAAACATTTCTTATTATCACTGTTGAAAACAATATTGTGCTCTTTTATTATTGTGAAAACCATCATACTTTACCACATTGTAAAAAAAAATGTTTTCATGATTTGTAATCACAACATTTTTTCTTTTGTCAAATCAACTTAATAATTATTTGAGTTTCTGGTGATTAAATTAATCTCCTTCATTGTATTAACTCAATTTTTCCATTTCAATGAACTTAAAATTTAAGGCAACTAGGTTACCAACAATATTTTTTACAGTGCATTTACAAGTATGTAAGATCTTTTTTTTTTCAATAAAAAAATTAAATAATTCTATTCATCAAAGATGCATTTATCCGAGCCAAATTGTAAGACAAACCGAGTTTAAAGGTCATTTAAAATGTCATCATGTGGATGACATAATTCAGGAGCATTCAAATGCCTCAGGTTTCATTCACAATAATGTATGACAACACTCAAGCGTCTAAATTGAGGGGTTGTATAGCTATTTACTGCTGAGAATGAACAAGGAAGAAGCTTTGCATTTGTTTTTTCTAATCTAAAGTACTACGTGCAACCTTTCATGCTCATGGGAAAAGTATTTATATCACATCTGCCCATCCTTTTACCAATCTCTCTAAATTAAAATACTTCATGTGTCTGCTGATACAAAACAAAGTCAGTCCTATACTGAATTTTCTCTGTAATAAGGTGTGTGGGTGGGGCACTTTTTAAAAGGGTTTGTGCATATAAGTTATGAACATGGTTTTTATTTATTATAAAATACTTCATTATAGTAGCTTTGAACTTACATTAAAACAAGTTAACAACACTGTTGCAATGCCCTTATTTGTGACTATGCCATGTCTCATACATTAACAAAACATCGGTTTATTGAAAGCACATAAAAGAAACAAAGAAAAAAAAACTCTCCCCATTTATCTGTTTCGCTTTAACTGAAATCAATTTGACATATTGATGGTGCTTGGTTATAGTTTCTGTCCTCTAGAGGATGTTAAGGTTAAATAAATGTTGGGTTGTCGGCATGATTGATTATTAAGGATAATATACTCTTTTATGATTAAAAGAAAAGGCTGGAGCGTTTCATCCTTAGCGTTATTTGAGCAACATTCTTTGTGTGATTACAGTAATTGTGACCAATGCAGTGAAAGTCACAAGTGCCCATATGCAGGTTCAAGTCATTTCAGGATGCACATTTTCAATAATTAGCATGTTACAGTATTTAAGACACAGCTTTTTGTCACGGCCCACGGGTATGTGGCTAGTGCACGACGAGAAGGATAAATTCAAATGGGCTGTAATAAATCCACAGTGATCCAAATAAAGATAAGCATCCACAACCAAGGCTTGACAAAAAACAATACCTGACAATGAAAAACAACAAAGAATAAACTTAAAGGGATAGTTCACTTTTGAAATTAATTTTTGATATGTTTTAGCTTACCTCAAGGGCATTCAAGATGTAGGAGTCTTTGTTTCCTCAGTATTTTCAATTTTGACATTTTTAGGTCAAACCGTTCTTGTCTGTCTGTCATATAATGGAGGTCTATGGTCACCACCTCAAAGAGCATGCACAGAGAAGTCCACATTAAACATGATTTAATGACTCGTAAATGTAACATTGATGGCCTAAGACACCAAATGAGTGGTTTGTGTGAGAAAACAAACAGTATTGATATCGTTTTAAACCTCTTGTAATCACAGTCACGTCCAAGTATAGTCTCTGAGGGCTAGGGCGCTTCTCTCTGCACAAGCACGCCGGAAAGCCCCGGAAGTGATCTCTCGCGTGTGTCGTCACTCATTGTTTACACAGAGATTTCAGAAGTGTTATCCTTCACTGTTAAGATCTAAACATATTTAGATATATACAGGAATTGCAATGGAAGACGATTTCAATATATCAACTTCAATGTTGATTTTTTTTTTCGCAACCGCGCACGAGATTACTTCGGCGCTTTTTTTTTCTTGGACGTGGCTGTGTTTACAAGAAGGTAAAAACGATATAAACACTGTTTTCTCACACAAACCGCTAGTTTCGTGTCTTAGGCCATCAATGTGTACATACATTTACGAGTCATTAAATCATGTTTAATCTGGACTTCTCTGTGCATGCTCTTTGAGGTGGTGACACATAGACCTCCATTATATGACTGACTGACAGACAAGAACGTTTTGACCTAAAAATATCAAAATTGAAAATACTGTGGAAACAAAGACACCTACATCTTGGATGCCCTTGAGGTAAGCTAAAACATACAAAAAATAATTTCAAAGTAAACTATCCCTTTAAATGTGTGTGCACAGATACGTGCACAGCTGAACATAATAACTCGAAAGATCAAATTAACCATGTGATATGTATGAGTGACAATATTCTGACAAATAAAGTGACAATATTCAGCGGCTAATTTTCAAAGAACATTTTATTGGCTTGCTTGAATATATTTTAGTCCATGCACACCATGTGCACTGTCTCTATCCCAAATATAGAATCAATCAGACCTCAGTCTAAAGTTTACCATTAGATTGGGTCTTCAAAAAACAGGCCATAAACATGGAGTAAGTTTCCTGGATATGACAAAAGCTGTACTTACTGTAACGGGAAATATAATTTAGTCTTTTTTCCTTGTTTGAGCACAATAAAGTTTACTTACTCACCCCTTCCAGTACTACTTCTTGTTATCTCCTTGCCAAAGCATTCACAGGTTTATTATAGAACTGTCATAAAAATATCTATCTAAATATGCTTTTGGGAAATCTATTGATGCTGACTGCCTATTTACCTACAACAGATGGTTTACTGTCTTACATTTATTGATTCACAGGCAGTTCTCAATGTTTTATGAGTCATGGCCAAATTTGTTTTTATGAGTCATGTGAAAACTTTCTTTGACAAGTTTGATGCTTAATTGATCAAGGTCATGAAGCCAACATAATAACAATAACAATATAACTTATTTCCCAGAATAGCTTACTCTTTATACTTTCACCTAAGTATTGCGGCTATTGTTCTCTCAAATTTCCATAAAAAAAAATGAACCAGGGAGGTTGTGCACTTTACATAATATATTTAATATATAGTTTACTGAGACTTATAATTAAATATATTTTTTTGAACTTTAAATGTTTTTTTTTCTATTAAGGTCTAAGTAATTGTGTCTCAACTTAACAGTACAAAATCCTAATGTGTTGTCTAAACACAACCATTTATGTTAAGTAAAAAAATTGTACATCCAGAGGTGGCTATAGTGCGAGCCGACTGCCATTTTGCCCCGAACTTAATTTTATTTGTGTTCAATCTGCTTAAATCTAATCCGTTTGTGTGGATTACATGATTGATTTGTGTTGCCTAACTGAACTGAGCAGTGCTTTTAGTTCCCAGCATGCTTTGTACATGGTTGGAATTAAGAGAGAATAAATGTTAAAATTAAGTGTTATGAGAGAAATTTAGAAAAGGGAAGACTTGATAGTGTGTAATAGTGTTTAATGT